ATATATAAAATACACATATTTGTTAAAAATAAGATAATCAAAATAAGATAAACAAATACATAATGTATAGAACAATAAGTGTTACCATAAAATATTAGTTAAACTGTAACATAGTTAGTGGCAAAAAACGTAATTATTGAAAAGTAAAATTAATAGATAGCTAAGTAAAATTAATACACGACTACTGAGACGGCGGTGAGGTTTCTGGACAAATAGATTACTTAAGAAGACCCTTAGCTTTTAACAGATCCCTCATGAATCCTTTGAGATATTTTATTTCTTGTTCAATTTCTTTCACTCGATTTTTCAATTTCTCATTTTGCTCTGTCAGTTCACGTTCTTCGCCTTGTATTTCCCTAATTTCCTGTTTCTTTTTCTGTCTGTAACGTGTGGCCGCGTTCTTATTCTGTTCTTTCTTCCGCACTTTCTTGTCTTCGAGGGAGGATCGAGAATATGGTTTATGGCGATGTTTTGAAGAATCGTGAACTGATTGTTTGAAATTTCTTCTTTCAGTTTCGAAACTCCAATCGGGATCGTCAGCGGAATCTTCGGCCGAGGTACAACTGCCACCGGAACTGCATGGACTTGAGGGTGACGGTATATCCTTGGTGTGCGACCGGACATATTCATCCACCACTGCTAAGTCGTTCGCAACATCGTCCCCGCCGAGTGGACTTAGCGATATATCTTCAGCATTCCACTGACGCGGCGTATCATTCGCATACAGTGGTTCTTCTGTTGGAACGATATTGTATATCGATTGATTGCCATCAAATAATGGTTGTACAGGCTGCAGGGTGACTAGCAGTTGCGTGTCCACATTGATCGCTTTATGCGGGGGTGATTGTGGAGGAGTGAGCGTCGAACTGTTTGGCGGGACGATCTGATGGCAAGCTTCGACATCACCCAAAACCGTTTCAAACTCCTGCAAAAGGGTCTGTGTATTGTCATGATGCTGTTGTTGTTGTTGTTGTTGGTGGTGGTGATGTTGCTGCGATGCCTTCACGATAATTGGGTAGATGATTGACGGAGATTTGGTTTGGCTGTTCTCCAATAATTGATCGTATATAGGCAGCTCTACCTTTTCTTCTAGCCAATCCGAGAAGGGCTCTGCAAACAACGACAGATTTTGATAAGTGCGACGATTCGTGCACAATTTTTCGTCCAGGTATTCTCAATGTGGTTTCTTCAGACGTGACTAAATATCGCGCAATATCTTTCGATAGGGTTGTGCGACCGATGGTCGAATTGGCCGTAGATCGAATTTGTCCTATTTTTAATTGACATCGCATATCAATTCGCGCGCGCTAGTTACGCTTGCGATGCATTCATTTCATTCGTTTGCAAATGAATCACACTAGCAATATTATAAGATATTATTTCTTGGTATGTGCATTGTATTGGATAATCGTGAGACGCAATAGCTCAGCGCGCTTCTGGAAATGCGGCACGAACGGTAAATATGCAACGTCGTGGAAATGATCGATCTACGTATTTCCCATAACATTAAGACTGTTTACCGTGTATTATGTTCTGGAAATTACATTATCTATCTTTCATGTTTTGGCGCCAAGTCAAGTTTTCTTTTTCTCATTTTTTAGTAGCGTTTGTAATGCACGATTAATTTTATGTAGATGGTGTCTTTCTTATCAAAAGAGGGACTAAACACTTACTGATTAATACTATCTTTATATAGTATAATTTGATATTTTTATAGTATATTTGATATTTTTATAGTATATTTGATATCTTTATATAGTATAATTTGGTAATATCTTTATACAATATAATGTGAATCTGATTAAAAGTTAAGATGTACTAGCTAATAGTATTTATCGTTACAATGTGCATGAACAATAAAATAGGCGTGGCGTGTTAATGCATATACAATTTCATGGACGTCAGTGATCTAACTAGGAAAACAAGTTCCTCATTTGCAATCTCCTCAATTTATAATAAGATCAATCGCTTGGCTATCGCGATAATTTCTTATTCCATATGTAAAGCGATATTTATGAAATGTTTTTTTTTCTTTTTAATTTGCTATTGATCGTTTGTGCAGTAGAACTTGCAACGTTTAAAAATGCTCGATTTTTCTAGAATTTATCTTTCCTTCGTTATCCTCCCGAAGATATAGCTGAGAATTAAAGTGCATAATGTTAC